AAGGAGGTACGGGCGCGCCACGCTGGGCCGTCCTTTTAAGTCGTCCGAACGGCACGACAGGGTCCATCACAGTGCCAGTGAGCCGCGGCGCGGACGTTAAAGAGACCTTTCCAATGAAAACGAACACTATTTACACATTTACGGGCATTTACGGGGATTTGTTAACATGGCGAATGTCTTTGCGAGGCTACAATCATCTGGAAAAAAGAAGAAGATCCATACAAAAAAATCAGGCAGGAGGCATTAACAAAAAGCAGTTCCCATCTATTCTCATTGTTCAAAAATAGAGGGGTTGAAAAAGAGCGGGAAAAAATGCGGGAAGAGAGCAGGTGTGAGTAGCAAACAAGCCATGCCATAATAAAGATCAATAATGTCTATTTAAGAGGTCCTCCTCACAAAATGTCCTAAATCCACGAACAGAGCGTCCCTTTCTCATTTGGAATTTATGCCAGTTCAAAAGAAATTTCTGTTAGACAAGAGTTATCGTGGATAACAAGAGCGCGGAGCCGCTTTCCTGGCGGTTGTGTGCATAACTTTTTCTCCGAGATGCTTTTCAGCTTCCAGAGTAAAATTCTGCCGTTGATGATGATAGCGGCAGCATCAGTACCAAAACACTCTTGCCTAGAGGTCTTATAATCCCCGCTACTATATAAACTACTTGCCGAGTTCTCTTCTAGGTTGTTCGGAGCACCTGCCGAAAATTCCGTTATAGCTTCTGGTGCGAGTTCCAGGACATAGACTATATAAGAGGAGACTATATAAGACTTTTTACCCTGCGGCAAAGGCTTGCTCATTTTCTTCAAGTTGGTTCCGTTATAACAGGGACCGCAAAAACAGCAGATGGCTGCAATGGTTGGCGATAGCTGGTGGGAACTTTTCAGCCATTCTGGACATATGATGCCATGAGCGGACGCCGTACGGTCCTTCAGCGGCATGTTATTAAGTGAGCTCAAAAAAAAACTCAAAGGACGATGTATGCACTCTACCTCATATAGTCAGGCAGACATGGCTATTAAAAAGTTCAGAGCGTAAGTTATGAATAACTCTTTCCTTGACGTTAGCGATCAATGGTTGCATTAGGTGACGATTGCCTCCAGATGGTGCGATTCCACATTTCCGTATCAATCCGAAGGTCCTTTGGAAAGGCGGCTATTATTTAATCTTGAGCTGTTTGCCTTCCTTCCGTCATCGTGAAAATTTCCTGGGAAAAAGAAGCTATATTACTCGCCGATGTTCATGATAACGATTATTACGGAAACTGTTCTTGAATTTGCAAGAAAAGCCAGGTGATTTCAGTCGATCACGGCCCTGTGAACTCGTTGCTAAAACTTCGCTCCTCTCTCCACATATTGAGAAATCCAGCGATGAAAAACGATGGTCCGAACCAGCCTAGAATTAAGGAAGAAGAGTTACGTCAGTCAGGCAAAATTTTCGTTATCTATTTTTCTATGAAAGTGTCTACTAGATTACTCCCAATTCTATAACAAGCGAGAAGAAAACTGAAACTGCAAATAGCTGTGATCGTGTGAAGATGAGAAAGCAGTGTCCACGATGATGTGAAGGCCACTACAAAGACCACTACAACATAAGATGAGGGACCCAGTAGATCAATGCTCAAGAAAAGCGATCACGAGGAATCGCAAAGAAGTATTGGCGACGGGGCAGTGGCGCAAAGAAGTGATGAAGAAGGGTATTGTCAAGGTAAGACTAGTGGCGGAATAACTGCACATAGATGGAAATGGGGACGACAGACAAGAACAGTGGATTGACCCGAAGGATGAGAAAACACAAAAGGGATGATTCTTACATATTCTATCTCCTGGAACTCGCACCAGAAGCTACAGTGTGTTTCAAAAGTATGTGCACACCCAACATNAGTATTGGCGACGGGGCAGTGGCGCAAAGAAGTGATGAAGAAGGGTATTGTCGAGGTAAGACTAGTGGCGGAATAACTGCAGATAGATGGAAATGGGGACGACAGACAAGAACAGTGGATTAATCCGAAGGATGAGAAAACACAAAAGGGATGATTCTTATATATTCTATCTCCTGGAACTCGCACCAGAAGCTACAGTGTGTTTCAAAAGTATGTGCACACCCAACATCTTGTTTTTTTGGAAATACCATTGCTTTCTGTAATCTGTGACCTTCACCATTCAATTCCATGTGTGCAATAACCTACGAACACCTTCCCTGAGAAAACATCGTAGCTGCTAACACAATTTTTTATTAAAGAAAAAT